CATATCGCTCAGGGCGATGGGTCAGGGTAAATAAATACAACTCAACTCAACTCAATCAATCAATCAATAAGAGCTAGTCTATCTTATACTTAATTCCTGCCTTAGCGAGCCCTATGGCCCGACGGGGGTACCGTTTACTATCCCTAAGTTCTAGGAACCCTACTCTACTACGGAGGAGCCTCGCTGGTAATGCTGCGACCGGTGATACCGCCTTCCGCTTTACTACTCTACCTCCTTGCACATCGATATTGTCTTCCATGGTGGGTTGGTCCGTGCACTCGCTTCGCGCGGTGGGCGCGGGCGCGCAAATTCTTTGATATTGGTAGGAATCGAATGCCACCAACGCACTCTATAAGAATCACTGGACGAGCAACCACCTACGAAAAGGTGGTCGAAGACGTTGGTGGTTAGAGGAGGTGACGTTGGCCTATACGTATACGGATACGAGTGCGACCGCGCGCGAACATTTGAGTCTGGTCATGCGAAGTTTTGAGACTGGCCTACCGCCTGCCCGCGGGGTGCCACGGTGCCACGGTGCCACGGTCGCATTAACCCTTCGAGACCTGGGTACTGGAAAGTTAGCTGCGATCAAGAACAGGAAAATTAGCTAGAGCAGGTGCAAATACCTATAATCGAAGTAGCGTATGCAAATTCCGCTTCGCCGCCTAATTGCTGTTGAGCTGATCCGGCCGTTGTCGCTGCGCGGCGCTGGACATGACTCAGAAACGGCGACCCATGCGCGGGCCTTGACTCGGGCCTCCCCTACTGGCCGACGACGACGATGCGCACGCACGCCTATCGGCCCTGGCGGCTGCCCAACGGAGCTCTCCGCTCCGTTTCATGCGATTCCCCGGTGCTTGCTTTCCGATGTCCTGGGTGTATGGGTTCATCAATGTCCGAGATGCAGGCGATGGAATGCGGTGCGATGCGGAGTAACTGTTAGTATGTGTCCGGCCCTTGAGATATGTACACGTAGAGGCATGGGAGAAGCTGCTTGGAAGTTGTGAGGTTAAGGGAAAAGATCCATGGTTTCTGCAATAGCTGGCCGGCTACATATATAGAAGCCGGGAATTTGGGGAGCCGATGCTGTCTCCTTCGCGCTTCCGGCAAAAACTGAGATGTGATGAAGAACGGATGCCGTTACGCCGCACTGCTGCAGATGCATCGCCATCGCAAGTGATTGGGATGCCCGTCGAAGGACCGAATGGTTTGGAGCTGCATCGACATAGTGCGTCGTGAGAAACGATGTTGCAGACACGGACTTCTCCTCCGCTAACCGCAGGGATGGATTCTCATACGGTAAGTGTCGGATTTTGCGTGGCTTGTGTGGCTCGTGGTTGGGCCGATCGCGACTCGCTTGGGCGGCTATCGCGAAACGTCACTTCAACGACGAGACGGCCCTCAACCACCCAGAATCAACACCAGATGCCTCCTTATCGCGGATTTGCCCAGACTGTATTGTTGGCTGCTGGGCCGGTTGACAAGAGCCGGTGTTGGTGCCGTCTTGATCCTAGCGCCGGGCAACAAGACGCGTCGACCGGGGAAGAACAGGCCTGCACACTGATGCCCATGCCTCCCGCTTGTGTAGAAATCTTGGAATGAAGTTGACTTGGCACAGGAGCGTTCCGACACGCCAGCTCTTGATGATCGGGCGGATCCATGGTGTCCTGGTCCTTCCCTGGAGGAGCCGCCCATCCGCGGACGTCGGACTCGCTGCCAGGTCATATTGCAGATTGGGGGCGAGGTGCATTTGCCTGGAGGGGACGTCAGCTGGTGGAAACTCCGTTCGCAGTCCGACTTCAATACAAATCCAAACGCTCCCGGCGCAATATTTCCATGCGCGAGGCCCGTCGCCGCAGCGCGTCATGCGCCCTCTGTTCCCCGCCTCGGCACGCCAGCCTGCTCTCCCGCTCAAAGCAGGTCCATCGTTGTCCATCCCTCTCTCGTCCGGCTGTTGAACACATCGTGTCGGGCGCGACCAGGCTCCTGCTGAGGTATCGTATCGGCGGCAAATGAGGGAACGAGAACTGTGCTGGATTGGAGGGTTGTCGAGCGGCTTGGTATACTGCAGGGCAATATCGTAACGGCGAACAAGACGGTAGCGAGAACGTAGTAGGCTGGAGGATTGCCGGCGGCGTCCTCCGGTGGCAGGCATCACAAGCGGAGGACATGAGATAGCCGTTTCTGGTGCGTCGTATCCGTGGACAAGGCGTTGGCAGGGACAGTCGCAAGATGGAGGATTTCCGACGGCGTCCTCTGGTGGCAGGCATCACAAGCGGAGAACATGGGAACGTCGTTCTTATTGGTCCATTGCAAATGCGTGAGGTTGTCTGGACAGCGGGTTCTGGCTCTTGCTGGAAGAGTGTGTTGGTGGTTTGACATGTCGACGGCGCTTCGCAGAAAGGCTTGGCGCGTTGGAGACAGGCTGCGGAGCTTCCATGCATCGCCGCGTTGTTCACGCAAACAACCACCTCTTTTTCAACAACCTCCGCTCCGTCCACCTCTCTCCTCACCAACCTCTCCTCCGTCTGCCTTGTTACCTTTCTCCGCGACGACCCCCGTTTCGCCTGCCTCAAGTTCACTCTTCAAAACCCTCACTCCGCTTTCCTGATCGCATCAACAGCTACCGATGCGACCACCGGGCGCCTTGTTGCAGGCGGTGATCAACCACGTCGCTCTGCCGGCGCAGCTTCCTACCCATGAAGATACGGACCCAGGACTTGTCGATCATGCGCTCATTGATCGCTTGATAACGGCTGCCCTCACCTTGCGCAACCTGTCAAATGGCGACTCGATTCAAACATGGGAAGATGCTCGGTTCGCTCTGGCGACTGCCAAAGCGCTTAACGTCAATCGGAAGCTGGAGAAATCTATATTGCTCGATGAGTTCAGACTACTTCGCAAAAACATCCTCATCCTACATGTCACCCAACAAAATGCTGGTCTTCTCATCCGCCGGAGTGGCGAGTAAGTACATTCACAAGGCGTCCAACGTTTCGTTGCTAATCCCATTACAGTACCGATGAAAGCACCATCATCGTCGAAGCTTTCGAAGTGTCGCCTCCGTCGGAGAAGGTTCTAGCTGCTGAAGGCGCTTTACAATGGGACTTCCCTGGATCCGTAGTAGCCATTCCCTCTGCGGTCTTCTTGGACGACTCATTCCAAAACCAACTGGCCGCGTTCCTCGAGCAAGCGAGTACAGAATCGGTCAAGCGCTTTGCAGCTCAAGCATGGAAGTCTGGCGTATCCGTATTCGAGAGCAGAGACACTGGAGATCCGGCTTTGATCACTCAGATGCTCATGACTTTGTTGGAGGCATACGGGCATCGGGTTTCCCCTCCGCGGCTGCGTAAACGGATTCACGATGACGTGTGCTTCGACAAGGCTGGAAACCCATGGAGACGGTCTGCGTACTGGCTGGTGCTGCGCGTGGGCCTTTACAGATTTCTCTCAACATTGCACGGCGGTGAAACCGGAAGGGTGTACTACAAGTTCATTCTCTGTGTGGCCCTCGCTCTCCTCATGAATGATGCCATTGGCACAATTAATCTCGATCTACTGGACTTCATGAAAAGGAAGTTATCTCGGCGTCTCGCGAAATTGGAGGTGAACAAAATTCATGCCTCCGCCCATACTCGCCCATTGTACGAGGCTATGTTTACTATGTTGGATACACTCTTCAAAACGACACTTGGAAACGCGAACAAACGGATCGAGGCCGAATGGGCTTTCCTCAAGAAGTCTATCCAGAGACCGGTCCCTCGACTGCTACGCAATACCCCCCGGAACGACACTGTCCTGTCACTCCCTTGTAGCATAGTCTACCTACAGAAAGTCATGGCGTGGCAGCAACATCAGAATGTTGTACATCACGTCCCAAGGTATTTCGACTTCGCCAGAGTTACTGACGCCACCTTCCATGTATTCGCACGGCGCTACTTCAGCTTGTGCGAACTTGAATCCGTTGTCAAGCAAAGCCTGTCAAGAGAACCACTATCAAGAGAGGACTTGTATATGCGTTGCGAGCAGCTTGCGGAGCAGATTCACCAGTACCTGGACGCTGTCGGTGACTCGTACGACTCCGACCCTGAGCAGAAGAGCACCATGCTGCTGATTGTCATGCGACTGTGGATGGCAATGGACCGATACGCAATTGACCTTTTTCCACTTTTGGCTGAGTTCAATCCTAACGTATCTCCCAATTCTTTGGACGTCTTACGCCTACCGCATTCTGTTGACCTGCATCATCTGATGGACTTACAACAATACCTAAAGCGCCGTTGGGAGGATTGCGACTCTACTACACGGTCGATCTTTGACGAACCTCGTAAAGGCTGCTTTGCACAGAGGTACTACGACAGCTCAGACGCCGCTACAAGCCTACGGGAAATTCACGCGGCCATCAAGAAGAAGGCAGAGATACAAGCCGCTGAGAAACGGAGTGAATGGGAAATGAAGACAGAAGAATATGACGAGCTCGGAAGGCAAATTGCGAGACTCTCATGTGTCTACGTCCTCATCGATGGTGAACGAGTTCATGACCGCCACTGCCCAAAGTGCATTTTGAGCAAGAAAGCCGATTATATGATCATCCGAGTCCACGAACACCCACTTCCACACAACGACGACGAGGCCAAGGCGGTGATATTTGAGCTTGCTTGTCCGAAGGCTTTTTCTGTATATCGCAACGCGACTTGGAGAATATTGGGTGTCCTCGCGCGGCCAAAGCAGCCATTCTCTCCGGAACCGCTCATGATGCTGCAGAATTACTCCGAACTTCAGGCCTGGTCAGGCAGAGCTGTACGCCACGGGGTAGTCCTTGCGTCTATAAAAAAGTCTTTCCTACAGACGCACTACGGAAAGCCTCCTCGCAAATACTTTCCCGTTCCTTGCGAAGATGTCATACTCAAGAACGGATTGGAGCTGGCCTATTACGATACCGCCACTAAGTCCTGGCCTGGAAGCCGCAGTGCGAAACCAACATTCGCGCACCACTGCCAGATCGAAATTCCTTCCAATTCACCGTTTTCTTCGTTACAGTCGTCGCCGGGTTTCGCTGTAGATTCAAATGGCCCCTCCTCATACGAAGTCATCGCCAGCCAGACGAAGTGTCCTAGTGGGCTGAACACGCATGAGTATATGGCCTACCAGAATCTTCTCTCGGGGAAACACAGGAGATGGCTTGCCATCCTCATCGAACTCGGCTCTTCCAATCTCAACTTCAGCATGGAGGCTCCTTCGTCGCTGGTCTCTCACCTCGCATTGCAGGCCGGACCGTTCCACGGCATAGACCCACTTCGCATCACACACAAGGTCTTCAAAGATCCGTCTTTCTGTGACACACTTTCAGGGCAGATCAACAAGCGTCTTGATGGCGTTGCTTCCAATTGGCGCGAGACAAACTCCATGGACATGCTAATCACCTTGATTCTAAGGTTTCATTCCCTTGCGGACGACACCAATGTTCTTCAAGCAGGAAAGCTCTTGGAAAAAGCTCGTTCAATTACGTCCCAATGGATCCGCCAGCTCCGTGTTGAGATCTGGAAGTCTACCGACCTCACCACGTCACGTAGGAACTCACAGTATGCTCTCAGTGCTTCCTTGCTCTGCCGCAGGACATTCCATCTGTACAGCGACATGTCTCAAGTTACTCTACAACCCGGAGTACTTCGTCTGTTCATAGAGGCATCAATCGCTCTTCAAGACAACCTCGGCGGAGATCCTGCGGCATTTTCTCCAGGACTGAAGCGCGCACTTATCAGAGATCTGAAAGCGACGTACTCTATGCGATACCTCCTCCTTCGGTCAATCAAGGCCAGCCCAGAAAGCCTCTGCTCCGTCATTGATGATGTATGGCCGTTGGGCCAGGGGGCTGATTCCAGAACATACACGCCTCTGCACTTCCATGATGAACAAGATGATCACATTTTGATCACGCTTCATACCGAGGCTACGCAGGCAACCAAAAGACAAGCAGTGGAGTACGAGCTACTCAGCGGGTCACTCTATATTGATGGTCAAAAATTGGGCCAACTTCCAGCGGAGCATCGCGAGTCTGTGATGTTGGTACAGCTCTTTGGTCACCAAAACCTTCTGACCTGGCCCTCAAGGCTTCCTGGAATGAGATATCAGCTGTCGCATATTGTGGAAGGGCATGAAATCCATATCGGATTTCGCGGCGATGTGCTTTTTGTTCGAGCATGCCACATGGGCTCAATACTAGAGTTCATTCCTGCCGAAAAGTTCGGGACCAAGTCTTATTTTGACTTGCCAGCCTCACTTCTCAATAACTGCGTCCATTGGCTTGATGTCAGGACCGGAACACTGGAAGTAAGACAGCGTCCTAAAATCTGGAGACACAAGCGCAGCAACTGGATTCTTGACGTCAACACCCGCGAAGCGTGGCGTAAGAACAGCATCCTAGTCGATCCTCATAGTCAGACTTTTCAGAAGATCGCGCGCGTCTTCAGTCGGTTTGAGTATCCGGCTGAACTTACAGTGTACCAGCCACAGAGATTTCCACTATCCGTTGAGATTCGGCGCCTGGAACTGACTTTCTTTGTTAATCGCACCTGCCTTCTCGAGTGCAAAGAGCTACGTTCAGAGATCGACCCCAATCAGGATGCAGGAACTTGGTACGGGTTGAACAGTAAACTCGTTCTAAGAGACACTTCAAACCACAAGCGGCGCAGCATCATTGTTCCCATGGGTTCACTTACCACAGTCAAGAACCAGTTCCATGTTGCGGTGGATGTAGCCAACGAAGGTACCTACGCAAGGTATATCATCAATGACGTCCTTGGACGACTCGAATGCCCCGCCGAGCCGTGGCTGCTCTACAAGAAGGCCCAGTTCCACGCCTACACGTCTTTCATGGTACCAGACCCACTTACGGGCCGCACTGGAAGCGAGGAAGCGCTCGATGCCCTAAGCTCAGGACTTTATCAGCCGTGGACGCCGCTCTCAGTGGGTCCTCTACAATGCATTCTCTCGATCGCTAAACTGGCGCCGAAAAGGGTGTACTATCCAAAAGACTCTAAGTTCATGCAGCAAGTACATTGGGACCCTGATTTGACCATCGCAATTCAGCACGAAGGCTTCAGGTTCCTCGCGGAGCAAATCTACCAGAAAAATGAGACGCTCTCCCTGTTTGCCTCTGGAAAAGCAGAGTTGCCTGTGCTAGAGCCAGCAGGTAACCGGCACCTCTTGCAGCGCGGCTATGCAAAGCGCGTTTTATACGAGAGATCTGGTTACTCACGTACGGAACAGCAAGGAGCGGCAGAGACGGTCTACATCAGTCGCGATGCCCCGAAGACTAGCAAGATGCGACAGAACGTTTTCGAAAGCACTCTACTTCTCAGACAATGGCCGTCAAGGATTTTTTCGACCCAGGATCTGGCCGGAGTCTTGCAAAGCTGGCCTACAATTGGTGGATATGATCGTGTGTTCGACAAAGTACTCATCAGCGATCGTCTAAACGTCAATTTCGGCTTAGAGTGGGGTGCACTTGTCAGGCTTTGCCTTGAAGCAACCTCGAAGGACCTTCACCGCTTGGCATTCTTATTTGCAATGCTGTCATTTTGGGACGATGCCAACATGGATGTCATACGAACTCTCATTGCATTTGCGGTGCTTGACCAGCTCAAGTGCCTCGATCCTCCACAGTGGGCGTCGTACTCCCACTTCCGGTTCAACCACGTTCCGACAGTGGACTACATCACGCAGTTGATCAAGCCCTGCGCTGTGCCTTACCCCGGCGATGAACGAGATGAGCTTTTGAGTATCGGTTTCAAGCTTCGCAAGAGATTGGAGAAAGCTCAGCTCTTGCACGAAGGGCAGACTGAGGCTGACTGCAACACCATGGCCATTCTCCTCGTTTCCCAGTGGCCATGCCATAGCCCGACTTTGACGGGCCCTAGCGAGCCTCTGTTAATTGACGTGGAGCAGGCCATGACAATTGTGCGTCCTGAGTGGCAGCGCCTCTTTGAAAACATCGAGCAATCTCGGTACATTGAACAAGTACAACGAGTTCTGGACCGCTGTCACTGTGACATGGAGACCGTACAACCAGACAACAGACCAACAGGCGAAGAGGTGCTCTACACGGGCTTTCACTTCAACGTCATCCCGTCTGTATTGGGGGAACTGATGAGGAAAGCCGGTCCAGCTGCTTTCCCAACAGTTGCATCGCCTAGCAATTCTGCAAACGGCCTTCGATCGATTGCAGGGAATGTTCTGGCATTGAGGCCTGTGAACACCGAACGTGGTGTTACTCCGACCGTTTCTTTAGCAAAGGCTCCGGTTATCAACACCAGAACCTCTCGAGAGGCCAATGAGCTAAGGCAGATCATCACCGGTATAACCAAGTCCAAGTCGCACGTTCAACAGCAGTATGCGAGAGATCTGCTGCAGAGTCTTGAAGCATTTGAAAGCATTCAAGGCGAACAGAGTCATTTCGCTCAGTCTGTACCAAGAATCACGCCAGCTTCGACACTGACGACGTCGCAAAAGTTCGTGCAAAGCCAGCTGATGCTAATCCAAACCGCTCTGAAAGCTGGCGACCTACGTGCGAAGTGGTTGTGTGAGGGTGGCCTGTGGCCGTGTACCAGTCCGATCGCGCTCCTTGAACAATTACGCTCGAATTCAGATACTGTCTTTGGTACTCATATGAAGGAGAGCCTTGTCAACTTCGCATTGTCCATCACCCAACTACAGCATCTTCTCAGGATCGAGGACGCTACCGTCAAGAACAACCAACAGCGCCTCCGCGAGGAAGAGAGAAATGCCGGCCATCAGAATTGGTCTCCATTTGACCGCACAGATTGGATACTTTTGGAGATTGACGCAGATATACTCCTAAGGCCAGAGCAGGTAGATGTCGCCATTGCTACTCTGGAACCATCTTCGGGATCGAATTCTGTCTTACAGATGAACATGGGACAAGGTAAGCACACATTGTAGCATGTCTTTCCAAGTCATGAGTTCGCTGACAGCTTCAGGTAAAACGTCATGCATCATGCCGATGGTCGCTGCTGTCTTAGCCGACTCAAAGCAGCTCGTGAGAGTCATCGTCCCAAAGGCTCTTCTTTTACAAACCGCCCAAATCCTACAGAGTCGACTTGGAGGTCTCCTTGGCCGTGAAGTCAAGCATGTTCCGTTCTCCCGCAAGACGCCAACGAATGAGAACACTATCAAGGCTTTCTTCGGCATACATGATTCCGTCAGGAAGAGTTCTGGTGTGATGGTGGCGTTGCCCGAGCACGTCATGTCCTTCATGTTGAGCGGAGCCCAGCGGCTGTTGGACGTTCGTATTCCAGAAGCCAAGCAGATGGTGAACGTCCAAGGCTGGATGCGGAAGGTCTGCCGCGACGTGCTCGATGAATGCGACTTCACGCTCGCGGTTCGAACACAGCTGATTTATCCATCCGGTCCACAAAGCGCAGTTGACGGCCATCCGCAACGGTGGGAAACTGCCGAAGCTTTGCTACACATGGTTTACAGCCACCTATGGAATCTGGAAGAGAAGTTTCCGAGGAGCATAGAAGTCTTCCGGAGGCCTCAAGGCGGCTTTCCATTTGTGTTCTTCCTTCGCAACGACGTTGAGGAAGCCCTGATCAGGCGCATAGTCGACGACATCATCCATGACCGAACCTCAATCATCCCCATGATGGATTGTACACAGACCGAGCGAAACGCGATTCGGAATTTCATCACCCAAGGGCGTGTCAGCCAAACCGTGGCAGACCGGATTGAGCAATTATTTCCCGACAAGCCCATCGCCAAGCAGAACTTGTACCTCTTACGAGGCTTGCTTGTCCATCGAATTCTGCTCCTTGCTCTGAAGAAGCGTTGGAATGTACAGTACGGACTTCATCCAGCCCGGGATCCAATCGCTGTCCCATATCATGCAAAGGGTGTGCCATCAGAGCAGGCTGAATGGGGTCATCCAGACGTCTCCATCCTCTTCACCTGTCTTTCCTTTTACTTCGGAGGATTGGCACCTTTGCAGCTACGCCAGTGCCTAGAGCATGTGGACAAGTCCGATGACCCGTTTGGCGAGTATGATCGGTGGACGCATGCTTGTAGCTCATTGCCTGACGTCATGAGAGATTGGAACGTCATCAACTCCGATGATGAGCTACAGCTGGCAGAACTCTGGAAATATCTGCGCTACGAAGTCATAGTGGTTGACTACTTTCTGAATCACTTTGTCTTCCCAAGACATGCTAAGCAATTTAACCTCAAGATTCAGGCTTCGGGATGGGACATTCCCCTTCTGCCATTGTCTCCACCCGATGGCAAAGCCCAAAGTTCAGTAAGGAAGTACAAGCCTCTTACCACCGGATTTAGCGGCACCAACGACAACCGGACGATGCTTCCTTTGACGATCAAGCAACAAGATCTCCCTGGACTCTCACACACGAACGCAGAGGTTTTGACGTATCTGTTGCAGCCTCGAAGCCGCCATTACGTTCTCGCCGCAGATGAACGTGGTCGTCGTCTATCTGAGACAGCTTTGCTCTGGAAGCTTTTCAACATGAAGATCCGGATTTTGATCGATGCAGGTGCCCAAATTCTGGAGATGGAAAACCGCGATTTGGCCAGGGAATGGCTTCTCATTGACCACGAGGCCTCAGCAGCCGTATACTTCGATGCTGCAAACAAGCCTTACGTGCTTTATCGCAACAATTCTCAAGTCCCTTTGCTGGCGAGTCCATTCGCCAATGATCTTGAAGGTTGCGTCGTCTACCTCGATGAGGCGCATACTCGGGGAACAGACCTGAAAATGCCGGCTTCAGCATGTGGGGCTTTGACATTGGGATTGGGCCAGACAAAGGACCACACAGTTCAAGGTATTTATCACATATAAATCTCTCGATCGAATGTTTGCTAACAACTGCACAGCTGCCATGAGACTTCGTCAGTTGGCCACAACGCAATCAATCAAATTCTTCGCCCCTCCCGAAGTCCACCAAAGCATTCTGGATCTCCGAAAGAAAACCACCGTGGATTGGATCGACTCTTCTGACGTAGTCTACTGGCTTCTCGAACAAACCTGTAACGGCATTGAGCAACTGCAGCCGCTGTACTACTCTCAGGGTGTTGACTTCTGCCACCGCAGCCAAGCCGGCATTGACAACCCCGATATACTCATGGATGCCGAGCAACGCAAGGCTTATGTCAAAGCCGTTCGACAGAAAGAGCATCAGACTCTTGAGCAACTCTACAGCGGCAAAGCTTCCAAGGCCTCAAAGCCAACTACGAAGTCAGGAGACTATTCTCAAGGCATTTCCGCATACATGAAAGAGCTCAATCAGCGCCGCAAACGCTTCCAGGATTTCGGCAACGCTGTCCACGGGTCTGCGCTGCAGGAGGTTGAGCAAGAAAGAGAAGTCGCGTATGAGGTCGAATCCGTCCGCGAGGTGCAAAAGCCAGTTCACTATCGACCGTTGTCTTTCTCGGGTTTGCACAAAGACATTTCAATCTTCATCAGGACCGGTCGACTCCCCGCAGGTTACTCCAGTGTCGAGGATGTCTTTGCAGCTCTTCGGCGCACGCACCTGGGCATTAAGTTCGGCATCAACAGCGGGGCTTCAGAGTCGAAGTTCTTTGTCTCAAGGGAGTTCTCTCAGACAGTGCAACTACAACGTCCAAATGACGATTTCATGGTATATATCTTCTTTTTCTGTCACTTCACACGCATAATGCTAACATTTCTTCAGCGCCAAGTCAACTGGATTTTGTGGAGCAAGATCGCCGAGACAGCCATTGTCGTATCCCCAGAAGAGGCAGAGGAGGTTCTCGCGATCCTTGGAGAGCTCGGCAAATCGGGTGTTCATCTGATTACCTACGCCGCCCCTGTCACCCGACGCATGCTGCATTTCAACGACCTGAAGTTCTACGCTACTCCCCCTCTACCCACCAATTGGCAATGCCCGGAGTGGCTCAGAGTTGAGCTCGGCATCTTCGCAGGCCGCCTCTACTATGAGTTTCATGAACATGAGGCTCTCGTCAAGTTCCTCGGTTGTGGAAAGGACGACAAGGAGGTATCGATGAACGGCACGAACGACACAAGCGGCACCGTGGATGGAGAGGAGATTTCCCAGATTGCAGCCCAATCGGATGCCCATGGCGGCCATGGAAGCCCACAGAGCTTCACTGAAAAGCCGCTCACATTCCTGCAAGAGTGGCTTGCTGTGCGTCGGAAGGGTCAGGACTTCACACATACGCCTATGGGCCACGTCTGTCAAGGAAAGTCTCTCGTGGCCAGCCACCCCTTCTTCTCACAGGCCAGGCCCGAAGAATCTTCAAAAATCAACGCTGCTCCTACGCTGGCTGGCATGATTAGACAGACGCCTGCGGCTGCCGAAGATTCGGATCCCGACACGGACTTCGACGACGACTTCTTGGACGCGGAGGAGGGCTTGGATGAAGAGGACTTCTTGGATGCGGAAGAGGAGCTTAGCGATCTTGACGACAGGGACCGCGACGAGGTGCTTGCGAGGGAGCCTGAGGAGGAATCTGACGGCAGCGAGGAGAGTTATTAGGTGGATGATGGTGCGAGCATGTGTCGGTTGGGTGATGCGGATCTGGATATCGGAGCTCTGGCATGTGGGTTGGTCAACAAGTCACTGTGTGGAGATAGCTGGGTGACGTAGATTGTAGCTACACCGGACACTGGCTGGATTCCACTGGATAGAATAAACTCTTCACGAAATATCTGCGAGTTTCCAATGCCGATGTGGTTTTCTTGGCTTTCTTTTACTTTTGCTTTGCGAAAGTAACTTCTGCGTCCATGGCAGATGGTTTCTCTTCAAGATAACTGCGCGCAGATTGTGAGTTCGCTCACTTCACCTACGCTTATGAGACCGCCGCACAGCTATTACGTCCAACTTCACGCTTAACTAGGAAACTGAATACAGGCTTCAGAATACATGCACATGGTACCACAACATCGGCTCTTCAAACGTGCACACACCTCAACTACAAATCTGTTTGTAACCACTAAGCCTCATCCGCACTAACCAGCCCTACTAAACATCTAATAATAGTACAGCGTCCCTATACTATTTTATTTTACTCTAAAATATCTATTTAACTAATAGACAAGTAAAAACCTAGATAGTATACCTATCTTCGCATCTCTAATCAGCAACTAATATAATTAACTAAACGAATAGACAAATGAACGGCGTTACAATATACTTATCTTTAAAAAATTTTAAATCTCAACGAATAGGCCTCATCGCAAAATAATAAGCGTAAGGAGTACATCAAAGATAATATTAAGAATAAGCAAGAAAGAAAAGAGAAAAAAAAGAAGGTAAGCGAAACTACTAGCTAAAAACCAAATAATATAAAGCGGGTTAGGAGAAAAAAAAGTAAGTATGGCAAATAAAGCCTTTAATAAAAAAAAGAAACAACCGCACTCTTCTTAAAGTCTATGCGAAACTACTAGACAGTATACATTCGTACAACCATCCCTCCCTTTCTCCCTCCCCGCCCCTCCCAACACTGCCACTACTACGACTACGACTACTCTCACAAACAAAAACGCACTCTAACATACGCTGTAGTATAAAACAAAGATAAAAGCGAGCAGCGGCGCAGCGCTGTACCACGAAACCAACTGCCCTAAAATCCAAGGGTACAACTACAAACACGATACCTACAATACTAAAGGAACCCACTAAGCCCGCTCCTACCCGACGCCTAACTACGCTGATAAGACGAGCTCGCTCTACGAGATACGTAAATTTCGGAGCCAGGGGCAAAGTTCGAAATCTCGATCTATCTCTACCTTCTCCCAAAGTCGTCCCTTCCACGCTGCACGAATGACCAGTCCCGCAAGCACAGCACACTCGGCATTGCAGCCTCGTACGCTAGGAGTGCAGGTAAAGGCGTTGGGCTTGCAGCGCGTGCGGCTCATGGCCGCAAAGACGAGGGCCGCGAAAACGGCGGCGTGCGCAGGTTACCGGCGAGGACGATCGAACGTACCGCACAAGATTGGATACCATGAATATGGCGGCAAGTTCCTGCTGTTCGAATTTTGCACTGGAGTCTGAAATCAGGCACGGGATATACGGTGTGGGATAGATAAAATTTCATAAACGGCTGAGATGGAGAATTCGAGATGCAGATAGAATTGTCAAGTGCATGTCACTATTTCACAAATAAGAGTTATAGCCGTAAGATATAACACATATAATAAAGCCGCTATACCAAAGACAATTCTGGAAACAAAGGTCACCGGCGCGGGCGTAGCAAACACATTATATAGGACACGCAAACCGCGAAGTAAATCAACTCTCCCAGCATCCGCTAACCGCACCGACCCACTATCCAATGCCTACCATCCACCAGAGCAAAGCAAACAAAAGACAAAGTCCATTAGGGCAAAGCTCGTAGAGAAGGGAGAGCAAAGCGCGTCACCCGCGCCGACGAGACCAACGACCGTAGAGGCGATAGCGCTTGAAAGATAATAACGCCCGTTTTAGCGCACTAAGTAGCGCGGACCATGGCTTTAACGGCGGAAGTAGCAGCCACAAGACTACCCCACCGATGACATTTTGCTGGCAAGCTGGTGTATTGGGACAAGCGGCCGCGACGCAGGTTAAAGCGCTGAGCGTAGCCACGCTGGAATAAGTAGGTATGCCTAAGCTAGAACTCGTAGCGGGCAAGACGGTACTAAGTACTACGGTATTGACGAGGTCGGAGCGATAAGTTGTAAGGGCGACGTCGCCCTGCGGCGCCGACGACGGGAGCTACGGCCGTAAGGCTAAGGACGCTTTATGTAGTATGCTAGTGCTGGTGCTGGGGTACCAGTACCACCGAAACGACGCTATCCCGCTGTGATAGAGCCTGCGCCGACCCGGCGGTTGGAAGAGCGGCGGACGATGCGCGCGGCCGCGCTACCGAGCTGCCGAGCCTGCTGGTGCTGGTAGCCGTGGTGCGCGTCGTCGGCGAGCGTGCTTGCGGCGGCTGTGGGCGTAGTGATTGTAGACGGCAGGTAGGGGGAAGAGAGAAGAGGGAAGGGAGAGAAGGAAGTGGGTAGGTGAAGAGGTTTTTGGTGGACTCGCTGACTTGCTTTTAATCCTGTAGAGCGGGTTGGGCGTAGTGGTAGTAATAATGGTAGCGTTGGTACCGGAATTCCAGGGCGTTGTTGTTCTTATTATTCTTATTCTTAAAAGATAAAACGCGACCAGGACTTCGTTGTTGGATAGAAAAAGACGTGTATCGAACCATCTAGACAGGCAAACAACCAGTACAAACAGGTGCAAATAGCAAGCCACAAAGCAGCAGCACCAATTTTATCGCACCAAGGCAGCAGAGTAGAATCAAGCGAAAATAGTATTCGTCGACTAGTATATGCGGTTATCTAGTACGATATAGAGGAATCGTCGGACAGGCGTAGGAATCCGCACTAGTCCTATTAGTCTAGGTCTTGTCGTCGCGCAGCGAGCCGTAGCGACCTATCGCCGTACTAGGACAAAGCCGAAAGGTACCTCTAGACAAGCAAGGTAGGCTAGACAGCAGATCGATTAAGCGATCCTATGAAAAACTAGGACGAGAGCTATAGAGCGAGTACGCGTATCCCCGGCACAGAAAAGCGGCTGCGAAGATTTCTCTTCTTAGTAATACCACCCCGTGGCGTATACGTCGCCGAAAGAGCTGTCCTGCGTGTATGCAATGCCTGAAGAAGAGGCGCAGAAGTTAGAGAGTACGGATAGAGAGGGCAGGACGTCACGAAGTCGCCGCGACAAGCTAGCCAGCCTGACAGAACAAAACCTCATCACTCACCCAAACGCCATCTCAGCACGAGGTAGTTTGTCACCTCCTCACTCATCATCAGCAAGCAAACCACACACGCAGTCCATCACAAAGAAGACCGCCCCACCTACCCATCTACCCGCTCCAGCAGCTCCTAGAACCAACCGTACAAGTACAAGCCCACGATACGTGCGTGTCCCATCGCCATCACACACGCAACCGCGCCCTGAAAAGCGACAGCGCCAGTACCAGCGATCGCACCAGCACAGGCCGACGACGCACCAACTCTATGCATATACACACCAAGAGCCGCATACTACCGCTCTTACAGCGTACGCCGTCGAGGCACGATCGCGCTACGTGCTACGTACTACGTCGCCATGCTAGGCCCTAGAGCAGGTCGTCGACGCGCACGGGAAACGTCAGCGTAGTCAGGTTATATCGGGTCAGTCGCGCTACGCACGCTGCGGCACGACCCGGAGCTTAACAGTAGGGAGGGCGGGAGCTGCTAATGTCGATTAGTCGGTCAATCGGTCGGTCGGACGGTCGGTCAGGCTTGCGCGCTGGATGATAGATAGATAGCTGGGGGATGCGCTGCGATGCGTTGTGGTTGTTGCTACTAGGGATAGGTTTCTAGGAAAAAAAAAAAAAAAAACGTTTGGATAGGCTGAGGCACTGCCTGGGAGGCGAGGGTTTATGTGCCGGGTTTGTGAGGCTGGTTGGTGCGAAGGAGGAGGGGTAGCACACGTGTGCTGAGGACGGAGCATGTGTGCTGGCGATGGCACACGTGTGCCTAGGTAACTAACTGCTTTTACGCTCGAGGCTTGCGGTCGTATACGCTAGGACGAAAACTACGAACCTAAACCTACGTATTTACTTATCTGGTACGAGTGCATGTGTGCGTCGTCGCGAACTAGCTAGCTGGCTTGCTTACTTACCAGGTGCCTAGGCTGTAGCAGCGACAGTAGACCAAGATATACGCGTACCGTTCTTACGCGTACCTAGGCAGGCCATGCCTGGCACGGTTTCTTTGTTCCTGCCTGATCTGCCTGATCTGCCTGATTTTGCGCCTGCAAACCGGCACAGATCCGCCTCTACACCGGCACAGAACCGAGTTTCTGTACCTACTGCTGCTGACGCAATCCAACCCAGCGCCGCCACGACGCGCGATCGCGATCGCGATCGCTCCCCCGCCCGTAGAATCGCACGCGCCACAGCAGCCAGCCCGACCCGTCAAATCGCACGCACGCATCACGTCTCACGTAAGCGCCCGTACCCGCAGCCGCCCGGCCTTGTACGGTCGCGCAGCTACAGCCACACCCGCCCGGCCGGCGGCGATCGACTTGCCTGTCTTAGACGCAGACGAAGTAGCGCCGAGGAACGGCCTACTTTGCTGAGATTGGATGGCGCGAGCCGGCGCCTTGGTACTGGATAACGGATGCGGGGTCGGATGCGGGGAAAAGTGGGGGCGCTGTGCGTTGACGTTGCTTTTAGTTCTAGTTTTGCGTTCGCTTTTACTTTCGCTTTTGAGTTTGCTTACGATACGGACTGGCGAGCGGGCGGGCGAGCCGCCGGTACGTCCCGAGGTAGGAAACGAGCGAGCGCGGTGCGCTGCGCTGGTGGATGCGGTGGTAGGGTGGTAAGTGTGTGTAATGCGTGAGTTTGTTGATTGCTCGCTCTTTGCTGTTGGGGATTTTGTGCTTGTGCTTTGCGTTTCTGGGCTTGTTGTAGGCTTGGATGAGGTGTGGTTGCTGTGTTGGATTTGTGCGCGAGGGGGGGAGGGGGTTAGGGTGGTTGTGTGGTTGTATGTGTGTGGGCGAGGTGGGCGCGGGGTTTTTGGCGTGGTTTGGCTTGACTGTCGCGATGCTGATGCTGTATGCGCGTGACGGCTTGTGGGCGTGGCTGGTGACTGTGTGTTGCGTAGAGCGGAGGTGCGAGTTTTCTGTGCCGGGCGGGGCTGCAGCTTTTCTGTGCCTGTTTTCCGTGACGAGGTCTGTGTAGGACGGGGCTGCGTGTTTTCCGTACCTAGTTTTCCCGACGATATCTGTGCCGGGCGGAGCCGGAAGTTTTCTGTGTCGGGTGGAGCAGCGAATTTTCTGTGCCGGGCGGAGCTACGAGTTTCTGTGCCTAGTCTTTACGATAAGATCTGTGCCGGGCGCTGGGTCGCTGACTAGAACCCACCTCGTCGAACCAAGTCTAAGTACCTTGTGCGCAACGAAAAACAACCAAGACTAAGGTAACTAGCCATGCTGCTCTGGAAAGACTTTCGATAATAGAGTTATCTACACTCTTTATAACATGGTACAGCGCCTTATACACACCCTTTACTCACTTTATTTTTATTTTCCCCTGCTGAAGGAGTTGCGCCCTTAAAAAAGAGCCTAAGGGGAAACGCCAGCTCGCTCGTAAAGAAGATACGCTTCTACTATAGTTGCTTGAGATTGGCTGTGATGAGAAGTACTAATAGTCGCGATCTCGTTTCCGTACCGCTCAAGAAAATCGAGATTGATCGCGTCGACCACAGCTGAATACACTACGGGCTTTAAGAACGATAGTAAACTTCCCTTGTCCAGCTTCCAGCCACCTTAGTTCCGGTAACAACCGCCATCCACGCTTGCCCAGGATGGCGTTCTCCGCATACCTCTCAAACCCAAAGATCTACTCTCCGTTTGTCATTTAGTCGTCTCCATCCCACACCAAGCCTATTCCTCACAAGTTCCTACACGCTTCCCGGGACTGTTCCGATCCAACATGTCATGTCTTCTAAGCCAAAGCAACATAGCGGGCCCTGGTGCGATCGCTCCTCCAAACATCGCAGCAAGCCGCCGAGCCGCAAAGGCGCGTAGCTCGCGAACCACGTAGAGTTCCGCGTATCGCGAAGGTGTGTTTATCAGGTTGATCGATACAGCAGCCTGTCTGCGTGCCGTCGGCGGGAAGAAGAAAACCTGTGTCAGAAGAGTCAGCGTTGCTTAAAGATGTCGAGAACGACAAACAAGGACGGGCACGTCGCCTACCTTGCCTTCATACGCCTTCTGCACCCTCCCTCGTCATCATTGCCGCGCAACAAGGCCTGAGGGAGTGGTGTTATGTCGTGGCTGCGTCTGTCGAGTTCGTTGAGCTGTGTGTGAGGTCGGACGACGGTCCGCAGAGCCGCAGCCGCAGAGCCGCACGCAGAGCCGCACAATGACGTGACGCGCGAGCACCCGACCGCGCGCCAGCCTGACTTTCACTTCCACTAACACACAGCACAATGCCACCTATTGTCACGAACTGAGAATGTCGTTGCCGCTCTTGGCCCTTCTCCAACACGGTGTCCCTCTCGCTCGGCGGCTTGAATTGTCGGAGTTTTGGTGCCCCTTGACCCAGACAGCCGCACGGCGAGAAGCGGACCTGCTGCAACTGTTGGCGCGCTCCGTGCTTTTCGATCAGAGCACCTCCTGCCTGCCCAACCACTCCTTCTTGCGCTTCCAGTGCCGCGCCCTGACCAGCGCCTTGACCGATGCCATCGCTATCAGTGCATCGAGCAACCAATGGAACACAAGCCGGGCAGGTGGAGGACAAAGCGAAGAGTGTGGAGGGCGGTTCATCGGGACTTGGCGTATGCGGATGCCATGGATGCTTTTGTCGGGGCTTCGTCTTTGCCTCGAGCCGAGTTGCTGGACCTGTCTGAAGTCAAACGACTCTGAATCGGCGAGGGTAGAGTCTAGGACTTCCAGCCGGCGAGTGCGGCGATTTGAGACGGGCAATCTTGTGCGCTATGGTGCGATGTAAAGGACCATTGGAATCTGCCGTGTCGCGTCAGCGAGCCCCAGGCTGCCGTCGCCGAAAACGCGGTCTATGGATATGCGCCTGGTCGCCGCTGCCGTAGCAGGATCCCACGTCATAGCTTCATCTCTGCTTTGCGCCGCATCAAACCACGCTCAAACAAGACTCAGCACTACTTGCAACATTACTTGTAATCGTTATTCTTCACTCGACATTGGAATCGCTTGCGACATTGCTTTTTCTCAGTACACCCGGCCTAGAGCTTTCGCAACCGATCGCTGCGACTGCAACTACAGAGACGGAGCAGCTTTTGACGACGGCGTTCGCTTTCATTCAGGCTGACTTTTTCAGCGCTTTCTGGGCTGGGATACCCCTTCGCTCGCTTCTCCATCAACTACCATTCCAATGCCCGTGCACGTTACCCCTGTTGTCTATCGCGCTTTCAACATGATCCTCGAGCTCAGACAGAGAACATGGACAGAGGCCGACCTATGGAAAACCATAGACCTCACACGCGACGAGTATGATGTGTTCTGGGAGCTACTCCATGAAGACAGAGGGCTTTGGGAGTGGACCGGTGCTAACCTTCAAGTGGACTACGACCTGGCTCTACTCACAATTCGAGCGCCCCATAGGAAGTACAAACTGTTTGCCACAATGGTAGCCCGGAGCATCTCGGCGCAAGTGCATTCCCATTCACCTTTCAATTCCAAAATTGCCGATATATGCTACCGGACACCCGAGTTAATCTGGTTCAAACAACCGCGGTTTGCCGCGCCCAACAGCTCTCAAGGTGGGGGTTATCGATGCCCCGATGTCGTTTTTAAACCGGTGCTTAATGGTTACCCTACTGTCGTCATCGAAGTCTGTAATGCCACAAAAAAAGACTATATGGCCGTACTTGCTCAAGACTATTGGCAAGGGAGAGACGGCAGGGTCATGGCGTCCGTCTTTTTATGTCTGGAAAACAAGTTCGACAACAAGATTGAGTTCAGTAAGAAGGCGTCAGTTGTCGTTTTCCATTTTGGGGGGCAGGGTCCAGTGCCCTCTCCAGAACGAGTCAGTATTCGTCTCTACGTGTAGAGATTAAGCTAAACCAAACTTCAGTGTTTTCGTGACCACGAAGGTCGACCCGTACAAGGCAACCTAACCTTGAAGTTGGTTGACTTCAGTGGCTCTATTCCGGTGAAACTACATGACAGGTTGATACAAATCCCTTTTTCGGAGCTTTGTGAGAATCTTGCTATTGTGGAGAGCCTAAATGAGGCCACGCCTGAGAACCGCGGTGGAGTCGAATCCAACCATGACAGAAAAGGCAAAGATACAAATGTGTCAGACAACACTGCCAGTGACTTGACCGGAAGGGCCCTGCCAAACACCACTGTCAACGCTACGGCGCAACCCTATGGCGACAACCGGCAGCCTCAAACCAAAACTGTGATGGATGCGTTTACCGATATGCTCCGGGGCCAAAGGAGCAGCAAAACAATGGCAACCAGGGAGCCTATGGGATGTCCTTTATTGGAAACCGCTCAGCAGGATAACACTGTCGCAGCCGGATTCAACACTCATGGCGGCATGAACCAGCAGCAAACTGGCCACCAGCCTAGTCCCTTTGTCAGTATAACAGAGCCTGACCCGAGCAACCAAGGACCGCCTGAAATGACCCAAACACTTCCAATGGACAAAAACCGGCGCAGGGATACCACCCAAGCTGGTACCCACAGCCAGACTTTGCGCGACAGGACACAAGAGGAGGAAGATGTCATTTCCACAACGGGTTCCTTTCAGCTCAACTTCAGCACCGAAAATCCGACATCTAGCCAGCCTGAACGCGACGAACCGCAGCCATAACCCTGGGATGCTCCCATGCCAAATACGGCTGCGCTTGAATTGGCTGCAAAGGCAAATACGACACCGACCGGAAATCCACAGCCCCATGCTAAGAACAATGGTGATGCAGCCGGAGCTGAGAGCAGGAAGCGCACGCGGTCATCTGAGGACGAAGATGCTGAGGAGGCTGTAGGGAACGAAAAAGATTCTGCGAGGACTAAAGGGGGGAGGTACGCTCTCCGTCGTTCAGAGCACAAGTAAAGGATAGAAGGATAGAGGAAGTTTGTTGTGGAAGGGTTGACGCTCTTTGAGAAAGGAAGGTAGAAGGAAAGGATGAGCGAGGAGCTATTCTTTTTGTAGGAAACATGCGTAAAGAGCGGGTAGGTTAAACAGTGGCCCTGTACTTAGTTCTCATTCTTCGTAGTCGCAGGGCATATTCATGCCCAGTCATCCAACTACCAATCATTTACACGTGCATCTTTAACAGCGCTTCTTACGTGGATAACTATTCCACCGACACCTAGAATAAAGTTCAGTGTTCTCATGCTTCTTAACCAGTTCTAACAGTTAAGTTAATAGTAGATAAAGTATAAAAGGAATAAAGATAGCGTGCGCCGAAGTCCGTAACGCTACAGCGTATTAGCTGCGCCGGTGCTAGCGTTATAGGCAACGGCGTCGGTAGTAGCTAAGGCGAAGCCTTACGTTTTCTCCTCCTCCCCCCTAATATTATCCCGTAGCTAGTAAACTTTATAAAAATTAAGCCCGGCTTCTTGGCGGTTAGTGTAGCGCGACTAATTTGTGATGAATCTGCACGACGGTGATGATGGCGTTGGCAGCGTGTGCATTGGTATCGGTGCCGCGGTCCTACGCTGCTGGTTGCGTTTTCGCGCTGTTTTGATATAGTTGGTGTCGCTGTCGGTATCGGTGTTGAAGGAGAAGTTCTCGCGTTGAGGAGAGGTGGTAGTGCTTGTAGCGGCTGAGGTGTGCGAGGCGTAGAAGTGTAGGCCTAGGCCTAGCGCGTCGTGGGCGTAGGGCGTCCGGCGGTGGTTAGTGCGCGGTTTTTGTGCGGCGCGTGTGTTGGGGCGCGGATAGGGAGGATGGGTGTTGGATTGAATGGTTAAAACCGTGCGAGTGAAGAGAGAACGCGGCTTAATTTTAAAAGAGTATCTGGCAACGAGCTTTATATATATAAAGAGGTAGAGTAGTTATATGCTCGCTTATAGAAAGTAATAGGGTGTTAAGATAACGAAAAAGTAAGGTAAATATAAAGAATAATATATAAAGAAATATAGTCTAATAGTCTAATAGAGATACTTCTTTATAGTATACTATAGTAAGATATATACACAGTTTTATTTTACCTCTCGCTTAATCATTATAGTAGTTAAGGATAATTCGCGGAGTATCTATAATCCTACCTTTATTCCTTTTAGATATCGCCGGCTTTTAAGCACGCTATAACCTGTTTTCTAAAGGTATAAGAGAAGAAGTAGGTAAAAGCAAATTAGTAAGTACTCTATTTAAAAGTACCCCGAAGTTAGCCCATTTCGACTTAATACGAGATGTCTCAAAATATCGATAATAGTAGCTACGTCTCTTGGGCAAAGGCTGATAAAATAACTATCGCGCAGTAGACAGACTTTTCCGGCAAGAGTCCAATATACGAGTTAAATTTGCGGTGGTTTAAGGAGCACCGAATTGCTACCCGGGACCTCGGTCGCACGCCGCATCACCAACCAGGGCCCCAGCAACTCAATCTCCACAACGCGCATATTATAGCAGATCCTACGCGGCTCCAACGACCTAGTCCTTAAAAAACGCTCATGCGTATAAGGTTAAAATAAAGTTTGAGTAGGGAGTATAGAAGATTATAGAGATTATCGCGTGCTTAGTGCGCGGAGCACTTAATAATGCTCGCATAATCGCGAGCGAGATTGTACAATCAAAGTACAGCAAGGCTTCTTGTTGCAAAGTTCGCGGCATGGAAATACATGGAGAACGGGACTTGGCTCTTGCTTTGTTGTCAAGTAGTTTGCTGTATTAATATTTTATTTGCTTCGTCTTCGCAATTAACCTCCAAGGTACAATTAGCTTCGTCAGGGCCTCGATGTCTCCCTTTGAGAGCTTAGAAGTTATTAAAAAAAGGTCAGACATGCAGCGCAGTATGTTACTCGATGGGTGCTTAATTTGCATCGGATATTCGGGTTTAACTCTAAGCCGCTTCTCTTTAGACACACGAAGGCACTTGTTCTTCAAGCACTCTGTACGCCGATAATTCTCAACAAAGACAAACAGTCAGTGTTTATACGCTTTACCCAATGTGAAAGGTGTTCTAGTATTTCCCCCTAGCATTTTGAATCAGAAAATAAAGAAGCCATTCGTTTAATAGTCAACAAAAAACGCTCCCAAGCGATATAATAAGCCCAATAGAAATAATAGTGGCGAGTTTACCCTCGATGTGAGTAAAACTAGGAAATTATAAACAAAAATATTAAGCGGAAATTCAAACTCGCAATATCCACCAACTATTCTATATATACAACTTACAGACGTTGGCGGCTTATCAGTTCTCACGTAAACTACTTTATCTTGGATCAGCCTTTGAGTTTCAGCAATGCTTAAAATGAAGGGTTGCACGTAAATACCTAAGGGCATTAAAGGCTGAGAAACTATACTTCTATTTCCCCGCTCGAGATGCGGCTCGAAAGGAGACCTCAGAAAAATTTCAGATAATATATATAAGACCAGCTTAATATTACCCAGGAAGTAACTTGTTATTATGAGAGGCCACCGGAAACGATATCTTAGAAGTTTATTTTTATCTTAGTACTAAATAGGTGCGTCTCATGCTACCTATCGGGACTAAATTAGCTTTCTTCTTCAAGGTTCTAGTACGTTACAAATATCGTAGATGCCGCTTCGTAAAGATATCTATAAAAGAGTAACACGAATCAGAAGATGTGGAAGCCTATAAGGGCTTAACTTAATGTCAGTATAGATCTCAGTCTAGAAACAGTCCGCGTGGAATAGTACAACATTAAAAAATAGATGTCATTATTCCGGTTACATTATTGTTACGGCAGTACTGCTTGTTACCTAAAAGAATTTGTCTAAAGACTTGCTCTGGCGAGGTTAACATTTTCTTATATAATTACACTGGCAGTTTTAAGGCCCCGCACCATTACCTTTTTTCTTATCTCTACGCCTGCCGGGCTGCAGAGCTAGTTTGGTAAGGTTTGTAGGATTTTACCTTTCTGAACTTTTGCTTTCATGCAATAATTCACTTGTTCCAAGCGTGCCTCTACTTTTGTAAACGAATGTTATATCTTCTTTTCTAACTTCTTGCTCAAAGATCCGTCCGCCGAAAGGAGCGACAATTTACTACCAATTCCCATCCAATTGTCAATGATCAGTGACTAGCATCGTTCTAGACCTTTCGAAAGTTCTAGAGCGTCTACCGCACACATCTGCATTGACCGACCTCTATGCAGGTCGCAGTGGTCTTCGCGAGAAGATTGTATCAGTGACTGCACATCAGATAGAAACATTTAGGAATTATAAATACTTACCCCCGCAGGGCAGCGGCAGTCAGATGGCTTATTGTAGTGGTTGACTTGGGTGTTTGCCGCTACGAATGGGGCAACGAGAAGGCAGAGGCCGAGGATGATAGTAGAGGCGTAAGTCTTTATTTTGATAGGGTTTTGATATGAACGTAGGCGTTGGATTCTTAGGTATGCTTGGAGCGTGAAGTGCGAAATTGTCTCTCTGGGTTCAAAGGCTCTTTTCCTTTTATACTATTCTATCCGACAGCTGCTGTCAGCATCAGGTAAGACGAATACTCTGATCGAGCCACCTGGCGCTGTACGCAATGTTACAAATGATTTAAAAGACCTTGCACTGTCGCTGATTAAGATCACGGTATGGAAGCTACTAGAATAGATGCTGGTGTTATTGTTTACAAGTTCGTATTTATAAGTAGCATAGAAAATTAATCTATGTAGTAACGCACTTGAAAATCAAATAGTGCAAAGAAATCAACTAGTAGTCTAAAAACTACTAAAACTTGCCCCCAAACCTATGCTGCAGCCACAGCCCAAAACCTCTCCCAAACAGCTAGAAAAGTTTCTAGTAAAGTTACCTCGATTCCAGCTCCTCAAAAAGCTAGAACCCTACTCTCTCCTAGCCGG